TTAGAAAAACACATTCAGTGATTCCTGGACTCGTCTGTAAAATAACAAAATATTTGCACGTGTGTTTAACTTTGACACAAATAACAGCCCACGTATAACATCACGTAATCCCAGCCTTCACTTGGAGCTGAATATGTCTGCATGCAGTCACCTTGTTTGCTTTGAAGCGGAATTAGTGGCAGTAATGATGTGGCGCTGGTTCCCATATACTAAAATGGGATCATTTCAAAGTAAGAAGGGGAAACGTCAAGCTGGGTTCTTGTTTTGATGAACAAATAATGAATGCTTGGAGTATAAACTAAATCTCTTCATGTTGATTTCATTGATGATTTATATTCAGCCAAATGAATATGTTTGCATTCAGTCGACTGTTTACGTCTAACGACTACCACCGCCTTCTCAGGAGTGAGTGTGTAACTAAAATGTGCAGAAATGAAATCGTGCTGCAGCGCGGGCAACAAAGCAAGACTAAAGATTAGCTGCCAGCTTTTTTGAACATGGGTAAAATTGACCAGTTATCTCTATTTGTTTCTTTGGTTTTCAATTTGAGAACATCTGTGTGAAATGTAACCATCTGTTTGGCATAGTTTAAAGTTACAGTCACTGTTTGTTTGGATCCATTCATGCCAGTAAGGGTGCTAGTCAAATGCAGAACTAAGTGATTTGAGACTGATTATTAAAGGCAAATAGTCATTTTTAAAATTTTTGGCTTCATAGGTTTATTAAAATGTCATGAAAATGATAAAACATCTACCTAGAGAATACAAGCAGCCTTGACTTAAATAGATTGTGATTGTATGAACTTTTCCAGCCAGTGTGAAGCAGAGCCCTTGGGTGACGGGTTGAATTTGGAGAGGTCAGGCTTCCCCAGCCCACCTGCCACAACCACTCCACTCATTGTGCCTGAGGGCTGTGTTGTAAAGCACATTTTCTGACTAATAGATAACATAGAAATACTAAAGAAACTAGATACTAATGACCAGCTTCCTCCACCTCCTCGTGTAAAATATCAGGTGCCCATCTGCCTGTTGGTTTCTCCAGGCTGCCCTTCTTTTATTTGTTTGTAGTTATATGAATCAGCTTTAAATTTGAAAGTTAGAAACCTTTATTATGTCTTATGAGAAATTTTAATTTGCCATTAAAGTAGAACGTGTTAGTTTTTTTTATTTTTATTTTTTAAAAATCTTTGTCACTTGATGCTATAAAACGGTGATGAGGGTAGTGCAATTTTTTTTTTTTTATTATTAATTTAGTCGGTTTTCGGCAGCTGGTGTGTTCATATTGCTTTACCAGCTTACCCACCTCTTCTTGGAAGCACTAGTTTAATTTCCTGTAAAGGCCTGCAGTGATAATGGCTTGCTTCCTAAACCCTTTTTATAGTCCTGTTGATCTGGAGGAATCGCTTTCTTTGCATTGATTCACTTCACAGGGATGCAGTGAGATCTTGTGTTCGATGACTTGTCTGAGTTTGAATATGCATGTTTACACGAGAAAAAGCAGAAGGATGTTTCTTCCCTTTGCTGGTGGGGAAATAACCTTTTTGATCTCCTAATCGCTGCAGTCTTTTTGCAGTCTGCAGTGGTCATGAGAGCTTGCTCGGGTGTGCGTGCGTGTGTTTGTGTGTGTGTGCACATTTACTGTATCATGTGCAAGAGGCTCTAGTATGGGGAGAATAAACCCATCTCCTCGTTTCTATGGTAACGCTCAATGTCTGCAGAATGGGTGTGATTCAAGCTTTCAGGGTTCAGGCGCACGCACACACACGTGCACACACTCTCTCATGGAGTCGTTGTACAATTAGTCCCCTGTTAAAGCGTTGCCGCTAGTGGAAGTTGTGCCTGGGTGGAGGAATGGAAAGGTGGTGGAGTTTGTTATGGAGGCCAAACCGGGCCAATAGAAACACAGCCACTTTGTAACCTTTCCACCCGTCTGCATTTAAAATTATAAATAACAATTGTATACACACTGCCATGTCTACTGAATTTAACATAAAGTATGTGACTAAATGTTCAAAATGAGAATCTCTTAATAATTCAGGTGTAGTTTGCCTCGGTTGTTTTTGTTGAAGAAAAAGAATGCCTTATCAGAATAGGATGGAGGATAATCAATGAGGTTTTTGTTATAACACAAATTATACCTGCAGAGATGGACTGATCAAGATGCTGTATTTATATCATCCACAAGTATTTTTTCTCACTTTTTGTAGGCGAGCAGAATTTCCTGAGACGATAAATTTTCCCATGCTAGCTTGTTACGGAGTTGTGAATCAGCCCTTTAGCCAGGACTTCATTTAATCAGTCTGTGTAAACATCTATGTGGGATGGAAGAGGATCCAGTGTTGAAAAGCCTTGAATGATGCAGGAATCAATAATACAGCAACGTTTTGTCAGGGTATGGGGGGATGGTGTTCGGACGGACGGACGGATGTGAAAAGAGATGGTAACAGCGGTCCTGCAGTACTGGAGTGACATGTGATGGGTTTGGCACCTCACAATTTTTCCATATTTCATCTTTATCTACATTTTCACATGTTTCTCTCCAACACAAAGCACTGGCTGTTCCACCCCCCCGGTGTGGCATTGACAGGATTAACTAGATAGAAGATTGGAGAGCCTGAAATATTGACCGAGCCAAAGACATCTCTGCAGTGACGGCCTCAGTAGAGCAGTACGCTTTCTATTTAAAAGCCTTAGTGTTTCCTCACATGCCTGCCTCACAGTATTCCACATATTGCTACACCATGCTCAGTGTGGTGGTTGTTATTCCCATTTCTGTCATGTTTTATGTATGAAATATAAGCTATTGCTAGAGAAGCTGAGATCTATATTAGGCGTCTCCACTTTGGCTTTTTTATTGCGACTAATCCTCACAGCATATTATCACCATCATCCAAGTCCAGACCATTTGGTTTGGTAAAATGTTACACATTTTAAGATGTAAAGCCAAAGAGGAGTTGACTTTCACTTGATCTTATTGTTTTCTATCCATTCCAAGATCCTTAAAAGGTCAGGGCCCAGTAGTGTTATAATTAACTCCTCTGTAAGGCTGAATTATAATTCTTTACACATTTTACACTTTAGGTGTGAAGCGAAAATCTTTAATGGCAGAATTTTGAGCCGTTGGCACTGAATATTTTTCTGACACTAAGTAGAAATCAATTCAGTTTTCCAGCTCTACCAAAGCTTGTGAAATCTTATTTAGAAAACATTTAAAGAAAGAAAGTAAAAGTACCTGAACTCTTTTGCAACACACCAATCTAATCAGCTGCTGATTCAGAAGTGAAATCAGAATTGGATGTAGCCAGTATGAGGGGTCTTGAGCGAGCCACATAGGATATTACAAAATTACCTCAAATATTTAAGATCAAATGTGCCATAGGTGGTATTCGTAACAGAAAAGCATCAATTATTTCAAATTTAGCTGAACTGAATTGCTATTGGAAAGTAAGGTTCATAGTTTCGGCTTATTGACTGTATGTTAACACGTTAAAATTGTAAGCGTAGATTCTGCAAAGTGTGCAGCATGTCAATTGGTAGGTTGTCTTAAATAAAGAGAAAGTAAAGGGTTTAAGAAAAGTGTTGTATCACAGGCGTCTGCTCTTTGTTTCAGGATTATCTAGCAGGTGTGTTCGAAAAGGAATCTGACTTGGGGACAGATGTACATTTACTGTGTTATGTTGTGAGCAGCTTATGTATTTGATTAGTGGCAGAAAGCACAGCTGTCTTCATATCATACTTCGCAAATACACGCTTCCAGAGCAGGTGTGTGTGTGTGTGTGTGTGTGTGTGTGTGTGTGTGTGTGTGTGTGTGTGTGTGTGTGTGTGTGTGTGTGTGTGTGTGTGTGTGTGTGTGTGTGTATTTTGCGCATACTTGTGCGTGTGTGTGTGTGTGTAGGCGTACTTGTGCGTGTGTGTGTGTCCAGCTGCTGTTGTGACTTCATGGTCAGTTGGCTGACCATGACACCAAATGTCTCTCTGTGAGACAAACTGTGACTGCCTGTTTTGTGGTGATTATCCTGTCAGAAGCTTGTGGAGTCAATCTGTCTGAGTTTTCACACCTGATGGTGATTTGAGACTCGAGCTTTCAAATTTGAGTTATTATTGCCAGGATCATTGTTTTAATCACAGCTAAATATTTTCATCATCACAGTATTTGGTTGATGTAAATAAAAATAAGTACTTGATATTAAGAGCTGCTAATGTGATTTTGATTGTCATATTTGCTTGTAGATGAAATGTTCAAGGTAGTTGACAGATTTTAACTTTAAAGAAGGGAGGTTTGAATACAGCACTTGTTTTTGTATCAGTTTTTAATACATGGGTCGTGCTTTGACCCTGCGCAAACAACCCCAAAATCTTTTTATATTGAGTTTATGTTAAAAAACTTTGTGTATGACCATACTCAGATCAGATTGGCAATGCAGAATGCTGATTTATATATAAATATAGTTTACATGGACATGTAAGTCAAGGTTTCACAATATCATCTTATCAATCAGTTTCCCAGCAGGAAACGTTTGGAATGCATATTTTTCAGCCGCCTTTCAAGTTTTCACAAACACTTTTCGTCACTGCAGAGATGAAGTTGTGCAAAATGTTCAGATTGTGTTAGAAGCATCACAATCATTCAGAACAACTCCTAAGTAACAATTAACTTCTCTGGTTTATGTCTGTGGATGACCTTTTAGCAGCAGATAATGAACAAAATCAATAAAGATCTTATATATATATATATATATATATATATATATATATATATATATATATATATATATATATATATATATATATATATAAAGATTTTTATATATATATATATAAGATCTTTATTGATCTATATATATATATCTATATATATATCTATATATATATATATATATATATATATATATATATATATATATATATTATAAGAATGTTTGTAAAATGTAACTTCTAAGTTTATAATGTTTGTTTCAAAAGCTTGATCTAAATTTAGTTTCTAACTTTTTTTTGCCACAGGAAAGTCTCCAGCAGCTGGTGATGATGCCTTTGCCGAACGTCCTGGTTCTGGGCCGGAACCCACTCTCTGGTGAGTAAAGTTTTTGACAGTACAATGATTTCACAGGTAAACTGTCTGAATAAAGCCGTACAGGTTTTATTTGAGTACTCCAAGGCAGCTCTCTGGTTGAGCTGTGCAGATAGTGAGGGTAGTTATATGGTAGCAATATAAAGACATGACACTTTTGCATAAACTTTGTCTATTCCTTAAACTAAAGCCACAGACTTGCTTTCAATAATCTGGTACTTTGATGTTTTCTTCTGCACACAGGATTTAATTTTACAGTTACTTCTGTCTCTGTCTCCATATGTTTAAATATGATAATGTTTTACAATATTATAAATCAAAAGTTATAAGAGTAACAATAGGACTTTATATAGTAAATAAGACTAAAAAGCAAGTGGGGAGAAGAGCTAATTTTTCTTTAGAGGTGATTGAAAACAGTTTAATTGCTTGGCTTCAGGTTACCTTTGTTGGTTACCATGTACTTACTGCAGGGGTGCCACAGCAAGCCAAATCTGTGGAGCTCTTTGACCTGAAATGCTAAATTCATCCAATCAGTTTGTAGTACGCCTTTGACCCTCTGACTTAGTCACGCTATGTGATCCGTCTGAGTGGCGTTATGCAGCAGTGATACAGTATCAAGTGCTCAGTGTCATGAAAGCATGTTAAAGCAGTTTGACCTACTCAGCCTTTCTGCTACTTGATATCTCAGTATGAAACCTTTGAGGAGAACAAAAGTAAAAACAGGTGGCTATTGAAACTGATCAAAAAACGAGTGTTATAAGGTCTGTTAGATAAAAGGAGAATGCTGTGATTAAAATGTGTTTACCAGCCAGTACAACCGTCAACAGAACGGTTCATTGACTTTGTGTTCATCAGTTCATCATCAGCCCTTCAAAACAGTGAGTTTTCCATGATCAAATCAGACTTTGATGAAAGATGTCTATGCCTCTTTAAGCAAATAAAATGTCTTCTTAACCCTTTTCTGCCTCGGCTTCCTTCGTCACACTTTCACCACGTCAGTCATTGGTATTTGGGGGTTTTCAACACTCTTTATTCGCCTAATCAATTTTCACTCACTCCCATCAGCGACAAAAGTAAATAATCCAACAATGGAAGCTGCAGGTAAAGCACTCACACTAATCATCTGCGTCATGTTTTTTTTTTTATTTTATTTTTTTTACTTCTTTTATAGCTGTTACATTTCTGGATACCATTTCAAATAAATGTCCAGGCAGTGTATCAAATGAAAATTTTGAAAATTACATGACTTATCAAACTCTATCTCTTCTTCCTGCTTTTTGAACAATTTTATTGCTCCAGTGTTGAATCAGTAGTAGGAGCTGACAAATGTAGTTTGTCTAAAAATCAATGAGGCGACGTACCTCATTGTTCATCCATGTGAGCCTACCAGTTATTTTTGGCTAACTACTGAATGTTATCTACTCTGCCGCATCCCGCAATCCTTGGTGACGGAAGGACATTTGGCTCACGCTCGCTTTGTGTACCCAGTTGTGATGAACCATGTTCACACCACAAACAAACCACTATAGAGCCTCAGAAACTGTTATCGTTCAGGAGAGTCCCAATTGTCTCTTTATTTGTACACCTTTTCTAAAAAAAGATTAGTTCAGAAGATGATGTATTTTAAAGCTTTTCTGCAGCCAGAGTTGTCGAAGCCAGGCCAGTGCTCTGCGTGAAGCCTCTTGTGCGGCAGACGGGGGCAGACAGGAAGTATTAGATTCCTTAAAGACTTGCCTCTCCTTTACCTTTATCTTGTCAGATAATCGGTCAGACCAGGAGCGAATGAGAAACAAGGGTTCAGTGGCTGCCAGCTGAAAGTCATCGGCCATGTGGCTTTTATTATGCTCCTGTTTGAGGGGGCTGGGGGACAGGGGTGAATGTGTGTGAGCACATGCATGTGTGCGTTTGGTTGGCGATTGGGGGAAGGGTGTCCTCACCACAGTGAACAGTGGAAATGCACTGTATTGCACCCTCCCACCCCCCAGGCTCTCAGTCTGAGCTAGCCTCGGCTGCCTTGCATAAACACACGGTGAGACAAACACACTCCTTTGCTTGCAAGTACTGTTTAGTCAGTGAGTACAAAACCTGTACATGCGAAATTACTCTTTGTTACTGTAAATCCAGAAAATTGTTTAAATTTCTTTTAAAATGTTTTTTTTTTATAAAACCTGACATCTTGAATACTTTTAATAAGCTTTTAAAGGGTTGTTGTTTTTATATGCCTGGACTGTCGCTGGCATCTTCCTCTTGTTTTCTGTAAAAAAAAAAATAAAAAATCTTTAGAATTCAACAATTCTAGGTTTGCAGAAATCATTTGATAAAAGAAAAGAACTGTTTAGGTGTTCACTGACCATTTTGAGGACTTAATCATTCTCATGTGTCTCCTTAACACAATAGACAAGACAAGTCTCTCCAATAAACAGTGGAATTTGAGGACATTTGCATTATTATCTGTGGCAACCATTGACTTTGATCATTGTATCTCCTCGTCCATTGTAAAAATACCCTAAGATAATCCAAAGCTAAGATTGATCACTGTTTTTTCTCTCTCTCTCTGGGATGAAATGAATATTTGCCTGGAAATAATTGTGTCATCACTAGTGAAGAGGTTGGCGTATTCCCAATGACTGTCATGGCTGAAGAAACGGCGCTGTAGCAGTAAACGGCGCTGTAGCAGTAAACTGCGCGTGCCTACAAACACTTATTTTTTCTTCTCATCCTCCCTCCCTACATCCTCACAAACTGATTAACAATGGCATTGTGGAGTGAAGGGTTAGTCAGTGTCCTTTTGACCTCTGCTTTCCTGCCAAGAGAATCAAAACGGAGCGGAAGGACGGGAGGTGAAAACGAAGACTCAGTCCAGGTGGCGACACTGAAGGAACAGCTCATGTGTAACGATGTTATGGGAAGGAAGGACGGGTGGGTGGATGTGTGCTGCAGAGAAGACATGGATGAAATGAATGTAATAGCAGCAGCGGAAGAGGGATGCAGACCAGATGAGGTGTGAAGTGAGACAACGGAGCCTCCTTTAAGCCTTCAGCTTGTGCTGCTGGAGGGAGATTTCTTCTATTTTCAGCCTTGCCTTTCTGCCTCCCTGCTGCTGCTCTGTCTCTCACTTTATTTATCTTTATCTGTTTTTTTTAAGCCAGTGATACTTTTCCTCCTCCTGTCTCAGTTTGCTTTTATCTCGCCTTTTGTCTGCTTCTCTCTCTTGTTCCTCCTTTCACACCGTATAAATTATTAATCCAGCGAGGTTTCTTATCTCTCCTGAGTAACTCCAGTAGATTTGCTGGTTTAAATCCCTTCAATGACTACAATAGGTTTTTAGGGTTTCTAATAGAGGGTTTTTAAAAGCTCTATTGGTTTGGGAGGTTTTACTTGTTGCTGCTCTTCTAGACCCAAATCTGCACAAATTCTATTTCTTATGGAACAGATTATATTTCATCCCATAAATAAGGTACTGGTGTGTAATTGGCTTTGCACATTTACTTAAAATATTTTGAAACTAACTAGATATTTATGTTTGTCATAAATATCTGTTGAGTTAAAGTGTGAGCTGCGTACCTACTCCAGATTTTGAGCTAATCCCAGATTCCCTTGATTTGGTTAAATAGAAAAGTGCCAACTTTTCAGATGGGAACAATTATTTAGCTGCTTTCAAATGAGCATTACTTAAAGTTATTCGGCTATGTTTTTTACAACACAAAACAAATGTGTACAGGCAAAAGTAAAAGGAAGACAACTTTGAAGCTTTTGGACAAAGATAAATCTGGCAAAATCATGTTTTCTTAATTGTATTTTGAACCGGATGGAAATAACGTCCCATGTATCCATTGAAATAATTATCAAATGACCAAATCTGTTTTTTTCATTACTATCCAACCCAACACAAGTTCAGATTTTCTTTTCTAGTATTTGTTCGGAGTATGCTAAAACTTACACAAACCTGGCTCACAAAGATTAGTGTGAATATACATGAACCAGTCTATATTTGTCATGTTTCCTGCTGTCAAGCAGCAACTCTGTTCTTCCTATGTCAGCTCTGGTTGGTGCACCTCATCTCTATGTTGTGATTTCTGTCAGATTTATTGTCCAATAAGACAATTTAGAAGAGAGTTGTGCCCCTCTGGACGAAATGCATTTTGTTTACATTAGCATGAGTTGGTTAAAACATAAGCAGGTGAAATAAAAATGTCCCTAAACTTGCTGCAGAAAAGAAATTTATCTGCTAAAAATCAGTAAAATATTGTTCATCTCAGTTTGTTATTCAAAAAGCCTAAAATCTCAAAACGTTTAATCTCAAGGTACTAAATTAAAAAACTTCAACTCATGTCGAGGATATGACTGTTCCCATAGGTTCACAAAGCTTCTTGCAGTAAAGTAAGCATTTGTCTACATGACAATTTTATATAATTTTTTTAGTATACATTGGAAGCTATTTTTGTTGTTTTGACCAAGACTAAAAATAAAGCTCGAGTGAGAAATTTTCATGCCTTAACTTAACATGCCATATCCACATCCACTGTCCCAGCTAGACTATGTTGATGTCCTCATTTGACCCTTAAAATTTATAAATATTAATCACCGTTGAGCTCAGGTTCTCCCTTCATGAAGCTGTTGTCTGACCCAAACTAGAAAGTTTTCCTCAGAATTACAGAGAAGCCAAACAGTACATTTCTTGATCAGCGGGATTAAGCAAATTACGGCTATTCTTTCACAGACATTCCTACTTCTTTATTTATCTCAGTGGAAGTGAAAAGCAGAATGAAATGCAGTTGAAACTAAATGCCGTGAGATTGAATTACCAACTACTTCCTCCTCATATTGTGACTGTTTTATTCAGAAACTGATTTTTCTGAATCATTTTTTTATTTCAGTAGTATTTGTAATCAGTACATATATTGACCTTTTTATGTAAAAAAAATTTAATTTCATGACCTGTTTTTCTCCTAGTAATCTTAATTTTAAGAACTACAAATACAATATAGACCTCATATTCCTCTTTCCTATTTTTGTCTGGCCCAGTGCTGAGTGGCCTAATAAACCCAGAAGCAAGCAGGCCACCCTGCACAGAGAACTTGCTGTCACTAAGCTGGATTTATTGTCATTAGAGCCGGAACAGCATTGGCACTCAGCTCTCCATTCGTCACATCATGACTTATCACATAACACGCACACACAGCAATTCAAACAGAGGAAGCCTGTGGTGGTTTTTACAGCCACAGATGCATAAATTACAAATTACTTATTGTATACCACTAAATCACTCTCACGCACAAGTTTGTGTTTCTGCTTACCCATATTAGGACATTGTCTTCACTTCCATTTATTTTAGTAACTGCTTTCGTGCATACCCCAACAATTACTCCAACCAGTCATAGCTGTAAAAGGCCCTTTGGTCTTCAGATAGTTTGTGAACCAGGAAGTGTCTGAAATGGGCAACACAAGCACTGACTTGAACTATTATTTTATACCAGGGTGTCCACAGTTTTTAATCCATGTATCTAAAATTAAGACCTTAAATGTCTTCAATTAATAAAAAATTTAAAAAAGGTTTGTCTTTAATCACAAGTTTTAAATTGTATTATTTAATCTATTGTATTGTATGTATTTTTTTTCTCACTAGATTTTTCTGTCAGGCAAAAGTGTGAGTCAAACCCAGACATCTTTATCGTATTCTGTGACTCTAAGGTTGAGTCTGCTGGTAGCTAACTCACTAGCTGGCGAGCTAGTTTTTTTTTTGTCTATCATGACCAAGAGTAAATTCTTTGCTAGTTGGCTGGATGAAGTTCATAGATTTTTGTTGAATATAAGATATAGGTCATAAAGTCCATCCACAGTGGTCTTAAAAAGGTCTTAAAATGCTACACTTGAGTTGGAGAAACCTGCAGAAACTCTGTACACTAAATCAGTTCACACACAAACATACACACACACACCACCTGCTTTGCTGTTGTGCAGCTCCAAATCCCCAGATGAGCTCAGGCCTGTTGAGTTGGCAGACAGCTGTTTGTAGGTTACAGCGGTTTGTGACGATATGTCCCAACATGTGGAGGAGAGCTGGGAGTTTATCCGGCCAGCCAGATACTCTGTGGAAAACCTTGTGGCTCTGTATATGGAGGGAAGGATTTATAGAGGGGGAAATTGTAACAAGCCTGGAATTTAGCTAATTGGAATTCGATGTGGGAAAGATGGGGAGCTTGATTCTATCTTTATAGGCAGAGGTCCAACTAGGATCTTCTAAATCTAGATTTTAACTGAAGTGTGTTGCATTTTTTTCACATGAGTGAGCACACATCTGTTTAGGAAAAATAAGCCTTAAAATTTATCCGTAACTGGAATTAAGAAATTGTTGCGGTTTCTTGTGGGAAAACACTTGGTTTTGCAGCATACATTTGGCATTTTTATTCCATGTAGTTTATATTTGCTGCTAAATGTTAGCAATGCAAGCTGGGAATGGATTTCACTTCATTTGATGCATTCAGAAAAAAAAATTGCTGGTAAATAGTTTATAATTGCAACTTTCAGTGCATTCAGTTACGTGTGGCGGCCATATTGGATAAGTCACCTGAGGATGCTCACTGAGCTCTGACTTGAAAAAAATTATTGTAATCACTATTTGGTGATTTCTGAAGGTAAATGGTTGCACTGGTTTGGATGCCACACTTTTCAGGTTATTGCTACAAGTGGAGTTTTTCTTTTTTTTTCAGAACAAGGCCTGGAGGAGATGAGAAAAATGTTGCTGCTGCTTTTAGGATGTGCTGTTCAGGTAAGAGCACTCTTAGTTTGCTTGAAGGCTGTCAGCATTTATAACCTTTCATTTAACTTCCTTGTCATTTACAAACCAACTCAGACATGTGGTGTCTGTGAATTTCTCACCAGACTGTTGACTTTTTAGTTCAACACTTCAGCTGCAGCTAAAGTTGTCCCTGAATGAACTTTGGATCCTCATCCTGTAGAGCTAACACATTGTTTGTGACTTGTCTTACATCATTGTTATATTTTTTTTCACCTCAGATTTTGGTGTGACTTTGTGCCCTTCAAAGTTATGAACCACCTTAATTTAAACCCTGTTTCTGCTCTTTCTGCTGGAAATGGGACAAACTCCTAACATTTTACTTCTCTATTTACAGTGTGAGAAGAAAGAAGAATACATCGAACGTATCCAGACTCTGGATTTTGACACCAAAGCCGCGATAGCATCACACATTCAAGAGGTGCTTTCTTTCTTTGACCAGCTACAAGCTGTAATAATATTTGGGTGGCATAGTGACTTCTTACTTGCATGCTAGTTCAATAAAGTCGAATTAATCTCATTTGTCCTGGTTTCAGGTGACTCATAACCAGGAGAATGTGGTGGACCTGCAGTGGTTGGAGAGTGGAGAAATGCCCCCTGAGGATTTGGACGGCCTGTCGAGAAATCTGGCTTTCCACCTCAAACGCCTGGTGGATGAAAGGGACACACAGCTGGAGGTAATGGTGTGATTTATTAAGCCCATTTATCTTGTTCCATGTTTTTACAAGAAGATACGCGACTGATGCTTTTTCTAGCACAGTCATGTGGAAACTTTTCCTTTTTTGTTGTTGCCACAAAAGAGCAGCCTCAGGAAGGAAGGGCTGAGACTGTTAACTGTCATTTGGTGTGTGTGTGTGTGTGTGTGTTGTGACTGCATGCAGTATTAAATGAGTTTCCAAGCCATGGGGTGCAGATTCCTATTGGTGATAGCAGATTTTGTGTGTGTGTGCATGCGAGGGGTTCTAATAGCCTCCAGATTATCATAGAATCGTTCAGCCGCTTTCAATTAAAATCCCATTTCCTGTTGTGGGAAGTAGATTGAAATAGACTTGGTGTGGGGCCTCTGCGTAACTTTTCTAACTATTTCTGCCAGTGACTTCCCAAATATTGAAACTCATCTTTAAGTCTATTGTGTTTCCTTTCTTTCTTGAATTGGAGTGTAGCACAGCTTCACCTGTCCACTTTTTCTTTCCGTCATTCCTGCAATCAGACGATCGTGGAGCTCACGCAGGAGAGAGACTGTGTGCAGCTCTCTCCCCTGGCTCCCATCGCCACCCACTCTCCTGGTGACTCTCCCAGCATGAGGAGGACTGAGAGTCGACAGCACCTCTCAGTGGAGTTGGCCGACGCCAAGGCCAAAATCAGACGCCTTCGACAGGAACTGTGAGTGTCGTTGTCCTCCTATCAGCTTGATCAACAATTATTTAAATGAGGCCTGTACATAGACTTTTGGTAGTGGAGACAAATAGGTTCCAGAGCTGAATGGGATTTATGTTTAGATATTATGAGGCTACTTAATAATATATTAAGTGGCACATTGTTGCACAAACAACCTTTTCTTAGTTTTCTTCTCAGCAGATTTCTCAATCATTTTTCAGCTTGTGCTCCTGCTGCAGTCATTATGAGAAAAAATTCCATCTTTTTCACATATACATATGCAAACCAAAAACAAAATAACTTTGCAAAACTGCCACAATATTTTCTGTCTTCGTTTCTCCATGTACCAAAGTAAAATACAAAGCAGACTTATGAATACAAATGGGTTTTTATGTCCATAATTTGAAACAGGCCTCAAGTCTTGGAGAAATCATCATCATTATCTCTCTGTATTTAGCAAGTCTGTGTATTTGGTTTCCTTTTTCCAAACAAAGTTGTGTGTTTTTATGCATGTGTGTGGGCAGAATGAAAGGCTAAATTAAGGCCATTGTAATTCAGATATGTGTAGGTCAGTCTGTGTTTTGTCAAAGGAAGGGGGTGAACAATTTTACTCGAAACGACCCAAAACAAGTTTATCTGCATTAGTAGGCGACTTATCAACATTGTTACTATTTTTTTCAGTTGCTTTAAGTTCAAATACAAAACTGCAACCATCAAGATAAATTAATGTTTTGGTCCATTGTTCTTTTTTTTTTTTTGTTTTTTTTACTTTGAAGCTGTGACATCTGAAATGAAAAGTTGTTGTAACCTGAAGTGCACAAAAGAAAAAAAAACCTGTCAATTTATGGAATCTGGTCACATGACTACACTTTCATCTCTTTAGCTAAGAGGAAGGATGATGGTCATAAACATTTTATGTAGCTAAATTAGATTTTATTCACTATAATAAATACATTTATCAGCCTCAGTCAGTTCCAGGCAGTTGCAATGTGGTTTTAATCTGCCAAATGGTCAAAATCTCACAGCTGCAGTTGTGATGTAGCTTTAAATGTGAAAGCCTCATCCTGCACAGATGCAGCTTGTTTTCAAAAAGCAGAGGACACTGTGCCAGCTGAATACGTAATGTGATGGCCAAGCTAATCTTCCGTGCAGCAGTTGACAGGTGCTTGTAATTTTCAAGAAACAGATGGTGTGAAAATGAAATAAAACTGCAGAGAATCAGCACGCTAATAAATAAATAAAAAAAAAAAAATCAAACACCGTGACTTCCTGTGCCACAATTGTTTAACTTCCCAGGTAACTGTTGGAGGAAACAGAAGAGTGGAGAAAAAACAATGAGAGGGAGAGAATAGGATTCCTTTCCTTATTGAGATGCGCTAGGAGACTCCAGAGAGCTGTAATCACATGGGCCATCAGATGTTCAGCGGACCAGCGTCATGCAAACACATGCACAGACTGAGCAGCATTTCAGGAATGCAGTCGTTTTCTCCCAATGTGGTGTGACACTTTCTGTCCCGTGAGATGAGCCTGTGAGCTGACACATACTGCATCTTTGTATCTTCACAGGGATTTTGCATCATCTTCCATTATTATTATTCCATTATTACTGTTATTATTTTATTGTTTTTGTTCCCTGATCCTAAACCTAACCTACAGCCTATACCTAACCCAAAGACAACACTTCTTCTGAGCTTTTACAAAGTGACAAATGCTAAAACTCACACTCAGTGCGTTATTTAACCTACTAGTGTTGAGGTAGACAAAAAAACATACTGGGGTTTTTGAAGAATTAAAAATATAGAATTCACCTTGTGAACTCTTTTTACTTGTCAGGTCTGACTTGTTTCTTCCTCTGAGTAAAAGAGGATGACGGGTTGTTGCCTCAGGGGAATATTTGCTGTGTGTTCATCATGATTGTAGTCACAGGAGGTTCAGGTGCTTGAGCGAGTTCTGCTTTTCTTTGGGGTTTTTGAGAAATGAGACAACAGAAAACAAAATCTCTCACTTCTGTAAGCATACTCTTAGGCTGGTTTGGCATTCAGTGGTGTTTGTCCATCAACATAGGACTTACCAATACTGCACATACTATACTTGATGTATAGTAGGATATTACTGTTTTTATAATATTATTTCTATAAATCTGTGCACAAGTGGAACATTTAGGTTTAAAACTAATAAACTTTGGAAAGCAGCATGAATGCAAGATGTAAGGACTCCCATCTATTTGTCTGCTTTTTGGGGGGACATTAAGGTTTCTCTTTCAGCAACACTGACAACAGAAAAAAAGAGGCAGACAAGCAAAGGTTTACCTCAGCGTTTTTCATAAGAAAAGTAAACTAGCTCGCCCTACATTAAATGACTCAACTGAAGTGACCTTAACCCAACTTAAACATCACTGATACTGAGAAAAAAAAGACAGTGTAATTGCACACTGCCTGTGTTATTTAACAAGCCATAAATACCATGTTAGCATTTATAGCCCCTACGAACGACCACACATGGAGGTGTGTCCAGAGGACGTTTCCCTTGAGGTGATGGGTTCAAGAACAAGTTGCACGTTGTGTTATGTATATATCAGAACAACTCCAAAGTATTTTTTTTAAGTGTTGTCAAAGTCTAATTAAACAGCTTTTTATGTTTTTTAGCGTGATTGATTTCATTAATTTTCTAAAAAACACCAAGTCTCCACTCAGTTCTAGTCTAGCCTCTGTTCTGAATTTGATATATTTGATATATATATATTGATACAATTCTGTTTTCAAAAATTCTTCAAAAAAAGAAAAAAAAAAACTAGGAACTTTTTTTTTTTTTTTTTTATTTAGTCACTGAAAACATAGCAAGCCAAAACTTTAAATCAGCCTAGGATTTTATCTGCTTTTATGAAATATTGAAATTTGTTTTTCCCCTTCTGTTCTGCGCTTTTATAATTTGTATGCCCTCAATCAGATGCATGTTGTTGTGAGTTAAAAAACAAATGATTAGTCATAGCACTACTTCTGTTGTGACAAATCCTCCCCATTTCCTCACATCACAAAAATGTTTGTACAGATTTTGTTTACTGTTACTTGTCTATGCAACGACTCAAAGGCTATTGTTATAGAATACAGCTTCAAAGTACTGAGCACAAAAGGTATTTCCTAACTGGACTGATGTCATCATAAGTACCTCCTTTAAGAAAAAAAAAACAACAGAAAACACACAGCGTATCATGTTCTTGTTCTATTTCTCATTTGCTATATCTATACTCTGCTTTTGTTGCTGGTTCTCCTTTTGCAGGGAGGAAAAAAGCGAGCAGCTTTTGGACACCAGGCAGGAGCTGGAGAACATGGAGGTGGAGCTGAAGAGAATCCAGCAGGAGGTAAAGTTACCAATCACAGCTCTATGTCGCGTGGTTTACAAATATTCGAATGACCTCACTTCCCCTCCACCTGGTTTTCTATGCCTTAGCGCTCGGTTTCTAAATTGATGCCAGAGTGTAATCAGCTCACAAATGACTTGGCACATTAGAGTGTGCTCAAACTATTTTTAGTTTGCCTGCAGATTCTCCTGGCTTTTGATGTAATTATTACCCCCCCCCCCCCCCCCCCCCCCCCCAAAAAAAAAAAAAAAAAAAAAACCAGCTTGGGGCATTGTGGAGAAATGCAAGGATAGATGATTTTTGTTATAACTCATGATGTGCAGAAGCTATTCTGTTCATTAGTGTTTTTTGTTCTCAAATAGTCCACAAATTATATAATATAAACACATTAAAGCCATTGTTTCAGTGTGTTTGGTTTTCTGTTTGTGCGATTTAAGCATTTCTTGAACTTTTCTACTTTTGCTTATACTCCATAAACAAATTTGTGTACTCCTGCAGAGCTACCAGCTGCTGTCCGACGCTCGCTCGGCTCGGACCTATCGCGATGAGCTGGACGCACTCCGAGAAAAAGCCATACGTGTTGACAAACTGGAGAGCGAGCTCTGCCGGTACAAGGAGAGACTTCATGACATTGACTTCTACAAGGCCAGAGTCGAGGTAAACGGCTGCAAAAAAAACCCCAGAATAAAGACCATTTTAACTTTGAGGGGCAGTAAAAGAAATCGACATCTAGGGATCTGTCTATCCATCTGATTTCTGTGCAAATATTAGCCTCAAGTTTCTTGTCAACTTTTGTTTTCAAAATCATCTTGAAGGTATTGAGAGTAATGGAGTTCATACTATTTGGCCATGTAGTTGATTTTCATACAGTTAACAGCTTTTTTTTCTTAATTTATATTGCAAATATACATTGGCCCCAAAACTGGGGCTTAGCTCTTTTGCATGCTGCTGCAACTGCAGTTTTCTCCTCTGTGTTTGACTTACCTTCCTTGTTAATGTTTTTATAGGAACTAAAGGAGGACAACCAGATTTTGCTAGAAACAAAGACGATGTTGGAGGAGCAGCTGGATTCCACCAGGACGCGGTCTGACAAACTACACCTTCTGGAGAAAGAGAACCTCCAGCTCAAGTCCAAGATGCATGATCTGGAGATGGTATATTTGTGTCTTCTGGGTGTAATATGGGATAGAAATCGCAGTAGGAACATGTATGACGACATTTGTTGAACTTAATCTGATCTCCAGGAGCGGGACCTTGACCGGAAGCGAATGGAGGAGCTGTTGGAGGAAAATCTCGTGTTGGAGATGGCCCAGAAACAGAGCATGGACGAGTCGCTGCACCTGGGCTGGGAGCTGGAGCAATTGTCAAAGACACCAGAGCTGACTGATGGTGAGAAAAAAAAGAAACTATCTGTTACAAAAATAATCATTAGCGACAACCCTACTATTTACCAGATTGTTGATTATTCCGACGATTAATCGATTATTTAGATGATTAATCGACTGTTCCAACAATTATCCGATTATTCCAGTGATTAACCGATTAATTGGATAGGAAAATGGCACATTCTGCTGATTTTTTTTATTTTTAATTTAACCACTTAAGCCTTTTTATACAATATCAGAGGTACATTAAGATATGAAAATAAGCATTTTAAATAAACTTATAAATTTAACATCTGCTTGACTTTGATATTGTTGCAGTTTTTTACAGAATTTATCTGAACATATGTTCTATGCAAAACTAAAATGTTATTTTCACCTGGTTCAAAGGTATTGAACCAGGTTATCTTTTGATAACTTATTGTTTTGGAGTCTCTATGCTAGTTAATGATTAATTATTAAATTAGTTGACGATTAATTCAATAATTGATTAATCACAATGTGATTCATTGTTTTAACCCTATTGACATAGAGCATATAAATAAAGAGAAAATAAAGAATAAGTCAATCACTTAAAAAAGTTAAGCTGCGAAGAGATACTTAAGAGTTCATTCTACTGGAAGCTACAGACAGCCAATAGACCAGGCCTTGGTCTTTGGCCCTTAATCCTGGCATCATCCCTCCAGGCTCTGTCTGTATGTGCCAGCCTCCACAGGGTTTTCTTTCCACTTGGTTAAGACCTGTGCTGTAATTAATATTCAGTGACTCCTGAAAGATAAGCTGTGGGGTTGGATAATAAGAGCTGTTAATAGGTTTAGCAAGCCCAGGATCTGGATAAAGACTCTGTGACTGTGGATGTTTGTCAAAGCATGCTTTAGTGGAATTACAGCCTCTAAGATTTGATCTGAGGTATTGATATTTAGTGGTAATAAGGCGATAGACATGACGCATCTTGTAGTTTGGCAAGACATTGATCTGTTCTGTCTTTATTTTAGCTCCGCAGAAGTCTTTGGGCGAGGAGGTGAATGAACTGACCTCCAGTCGCCTGTTAAAGCTGGAGAAAGAAAATCAAGCTCTGCTGAAGAAGGTGGAGGCACTCAAAGGAACAGCCAGTCAGGACAACACAGCTAAAATGACCAAAGCCAACCAAGAAAACCAGAAACTCAACCAGAAAGTAAGCCTTAATTTCCTTTTTTCTAAAAAAAAGACTCTTTTATTTCTAGAACCTCTTTAATTCTTTCTTTTTCAGCAGCAAAAGCAGCATGCTACACCAGCAGTCCCTCCATAACGTATACATCCCTCCTCTTGGCTACAAGCTGCAGATTTTTAAACCTCAGTGACACAGAGAAAGTAAAACTGGGCTAGGATAAAGAGGGGCGGATAGGAGGATGAAAGCAAAGCTGGAAATCCACACAGTTTAACTAACTGCCTTTTCTCTTTGCCTTTAACTGTGGAACACTCTGTGCTCAAAGACGTTTTGCAGCTATTTTCAGAAACATAAGATTATCTGTGTGCCCTCTGAACAAAAGTGTACCACTAAGTTCATCTTCCCCAAAGAAAAAATCCACCTTGTGGAATTTCTAAGTGACTTTAAAAACTTAATCCAAGAATCGTTTAAATTTGAAAGCAGCTGTTGGGAGACTTATAGCTCACAAATAGGCGTATTTCAATTTAGTTTCAATATGAATTAAATTCATACAGAATCAGGTATGATTTTACACAGTTCTTCTATTTTTATCGGAATCATTTTATGGTTAAAAATGACAGATGAATACTTTTTCTGTGCTTAAGGTTTAGTGTCAACTGAAAACATTTTGAAGAACCAAAAATTCAGGCTTTGTTTCAGCAGATTAAAGTTATTTGAAATTACTTTTGTATCATTTTATATACTATACAGGTAAAAGGTTCTTATTTATTGCAGTTGGAGCGACTGGAGAACGAACTAATGGTGGATCGGGAGTCGCTTCGTAGTGCCGAGTCACTGAGTACGGACCTGATGAAGGAAAAGGCTTTGTTGGAGAAGACTCTGGAGACACTCAGGGAAAACTCAGAGAGACAGGTGGGCACGGCAACACACACACACGCGGTACTATTCATAAGCCGTTTTGTAATTGTGTGGAATAGTCTCATTGTTATCCAATGAAGCTGTGACACATCTAGCTGATTAAAGAGTGACTTTGAGGCTTTTTAGCTCTAATCTCATGTAGGATTCACCTTAATTCAGAAAGTTAACATTTGACTCTGTACTGGATTGTTGGTTAGAAAAAAAGAACAAATAGATTTGAAAGAAACACTTTTTTTTTTCTATAAAATCCTTGCTAACTGTTCCAAGATATCCCACAAAAACATGCCGACTAAATACATTTCACTGATTGTTTCTGAAAACAGCTCATTTTCAGCCGTTTGCATTTGGATCAACAAACTGAATGCTTCATTCAGTACCAATTTCTTGCAGTCTGCAGCTTAGACGCAGTCGCTCGCTGTGTGTAGCCAGGACTTTGCAGTTGTCAGACCCAAATCTGACACCTTTGATTAGTTTAACCTTCTGATTTGTTAAATCCAGCTTTGATGAGCTTCAGAGGGGAAAGCAAACAGAACACCGCACTCGCAGATTATCTGCCTCTGTCGGCTTTGTTGCAAACCTAATGAGATGTAACTAATGCTGTGCTATTCCAGTATCCACCGGTCAGGCAAACAGCAGACTTATCCTAGTTTTTTACGTTTGTAGTGTTTATTATGCTGAGAAATTGGTGCCATGTTCTGTTCCCATCCCACTAAGAACATAAATCACAATTAAATCGAAGCTCCTCTTCGTTCTCTCCAGATGAAGGGTCTAGAGCAGGAGAACAAGCACCTGAGCCAAACCATTTCCTCGCTGCGTCAACGCTGCCAGGTTGGAGCCGAGGCCCGCGTGAAAGACGTGGAGAAGGAGAACCGAGTTCTTCACGAGTCGATCTGCGAGACGACGGGCAAACTGAATAAGCTGGAATTCGAAAGGAAGCAGCTACGTGAGTAATCAGCTGGATGAACATTTTTGGGTTTGAATTTTTTCTGAGAACAATATTCAGTTCTGTTTTAATTTTTTTTTTTAATGCAGGAAAGGAACTTGAATTGATGAAGGAGAAAGGTGAGAGAGCAGAAGAGTTGGAGATTCGGCTGCAGAAGCTGGAAAGAGAAAATGAAAGTCTGCAGAAGAAAGTTGCCACTCTTGGAATTACCTGTGAGAAGGTCTGGTCCATATTTGGTTTGATTATGTTTCAAATTATATTTTTTTAAGTCATACATTGACATTTGGGTTGTGGAATATTTTTTTTCTTTACTGATGGTTTGATTTGTTTACCAATGTCAATGCAATGAATGTAGATTCTCAAAGTCCGGGTTCTTGTGGAGTCCAGACAAAAAAAAAATAGAATGTGACTCTAATTGTTCAAGTATAGAGAAAGAAAAAAATATGTTAAGTGCATTTCATAGCTGTATCTGATGATGTCCCTTGGAGATGATCTTTTTCTCTATTTGTTTTGGTTTTTGCAGCTTTTGTGTTTTTAAAGTCATCTAAATAGAAATGTATGCAGTAATTTCTCAGGGAACCTTTGCCTCTAGAGCTTTAAAGTATGACATAAAATGTGAACAGAAACCCTGCAAATTAACTTTTTTTTTTTTTTGAATAAAGACATAAAAAATGCAATAATAAAATAATGCATTTGCTTTAGACTTGCATCTCCCAACTTCTCACACCTCTTTCCTCCAGGTTTCTTCTTTGGAGAAGGAGAACTCTGAGTTAGAGGCGGAAGGCCGCCGTCTAAAGAAAAAACTGGACGCTCTGAAAAATATGGCTTTCCTGTTAGAGGCGCGGGAAAAAGAGAACGGCCAGCTGGAACAGGAGAACCTGGAACTCCGGCGCTCAGCTGAGACGCTCCGGTCAGCGGGGGCAAAGGCCGCTCAGCTGGAAGCCGAGAACAGGGAGCTGGAGAACGAGAGGACCCAGCTGAAGCGCAGCTTGGAACTGCTTAAAGCTTCGTCTAAGAAGACGGAAAGATTAGAGGTATGAACACACATCCAGGAGGTGCGCCTTCAGGATCAGGAATTGCCTGGTTTGAGGTATCAAGATGATCCAAAGTTTATGGTTTTAAAACATCCAACATTTCCTCTCAAACGTTTCTCAATGCTTAAGGTCTTTTTGGTAAAATGTCAGAGAAAAAGGTGGTGGAAGTTTCCTCTGGCTGTTTGAAGCACGGTTCCTACACAATGGTGGTCGCGCTTTCACTTTTGCGCTGCTTGTAATTTAAAGATCATGTCAGCTGGTTTTCTTTGTTTAAATAAATATCTGGATAGAAAAAGGTGATAAAAAAAAATTGTTTTTTTTTATTTTGTTTTATAAAATTTCAGTTTGGTGAAGCTAAAACTATGGCATTGACTTTTGGGTAGAACACATTTATAACATTTATGCTTTTTATGTTGTCTTAAATGCAAACTGTATGTATTTTAGTACTTTGGCTTAGTCACTGCTCTGAATATGTTGAACACAACAGTTCAACAATGTTCAGGTTTTTCTACACATTCATTTCCCAGGTGAGCTACCAAGGTCTGGACACAGAGAACCAGCGGCTTCAGAAGGCTTTGGAGAACAGCAGCAAGAAGATCCAGCAGCTGGAGGCAGAATTGCAAGAGGTGGAGACTGAGAATCAAACCCTTCAGCGTAACCTGGAGGAACTGAAGATCTCAAGTAAACGGCTGGAGCAGCTGGAGCAGGAGGTAGGCCGTAGTCGCTACGCTAATGTTCTGCAGTTTGCATCCATCTTTACTTTATTGCATCTTGTCTTGCTCACAGAACAAAACTCTGGAACTTGAAACCTCCCAGCTGGAGAAAGATAAGAAGCTTCTGGAGAAGGAGAACAAGCGGCTGAGGCAGCAGGCCGAGATCCGCGACTCCAAGCTGGATGACGGCAACCAGCGGATCGCCGCTCTGGAGAAGGAGAACAGGACCATGGGCAAGGAGATGATCTTCTTCAGGGACTCATGTACAAGAGTCAAGGACCTGGAGAAAGAGAACAAGGAGCTGGTCAAACAGGGCAGTATAGACAAGAAGACGCTGATGACATTAAGAGAGGTAAGCAGAGTTTGTTTTTGTTTCCTTTTTTATGAATGCATTAAGATTCAGGAGATTAAAATAAAGCTTCACTGATCTACTTTACTTTAAAGTCATTTAATGTTGTTTTTATATAAATTTTAAATAAATGTGGGGTTATATCAGAAGATGCTCAACATGTATTATTTTGTGTGTGTAGGAGCTTGTGAGTGAGAAACTGCGGACTCAGCAGATAAATAATGACCTTGAGAAACTTACTCATGAATTGGAGAAAATTGGGCTGAACAAAGAGAGACTCCTGCACGATGAGAGCTCCGATGACCGGTAAACAATGATTGCTGATCTGTGATGGAGCCTTATAAAATCTTTGAAGGCTGGTTCAAAATTAAACTCCTTTACATCCATCAGAATAATGATGGATGTAAAGGGCTATTTTTCTCCATATTTCCCAAGCCAGAATCATCCTTAGTGAGATAATTAACCTTTTTTTTCTTCTTCACATTGTCGTAATACATTTATGCATTTAACACATAACGTCTTAAACCTTTGTTTCTTTGTAGGTTTAAGCTGCTTGAAACCAAACTGGAGTCAACTCTGAAGTCATCTTTGGAGATCAAAGAGGAGAAAATCGCGGCTTTGGAGGCGCGATTACAGGAATCCTCCAACCTCAACCAGCAACTCCGGCAGGAGCTAAAAACGGTAAGCAAACTTGAAATCATGCTTCTATAATAAATATAATATAAATAACAGTTGTTCTTTGCACACTTTAAGCTAAACTGCAACGTAAGCGTGCTACAAAAACAAAACCATAAAATGTAAAGTTAAAAACATCTTAAAATGTTCTCCTGCAGTAGCTTTTAGATTATTAGGTATTTAGCTTGATGGTTTACTTGATTCACCTCAGGTAAAGAAAAACTATGAGGCCCTTCGCCAGAGAGAGGAGGAGGAAAGGATGGTGCACAGTTCTCCCCCGAAAGGAGGGGAAAACTCCCAGACTGTCAATAAATGGGAAAAGGAGAGCCATGAAGCCACCAGGGAGCTGCTGAAAGTCAAAGACAGACTAATTGAAGTAGAGCGAAACGTAAGTTTAAATGAATCTTAAGATTTCTCAGGTGTGTTTTTATTCCCCCATTTTGGTTCCAAATTTCTGTATTATTCATTATGATATTGGCATGCTTTTCGCCTCAGAATGCTACGCTGCAGGCTGAGAAGGTGGCTCTGAGAAGCCAACTCAAACAACTGGAAACGCAGAGCTCCAACCTCCAGGCGCAGATTGTAGCGGTGCAGAGGCAGACCGCCTCCTTACAGGAGAACAACACCACTCTGCAGACGCAGAATGCCAAACTGCAGGTAAACCCATCATACAAACAGGGAAAACCTGAAAAAGCCCAACATTAAATAGTTGTTAGTCTAAATTCCTTTTGTATTTTGAGGAACATTTTTAAGCATTTGCATTTAAGTCATATACTGGTTCTTTTCACTGATAAGAGCAGCTTAATAAACATTTTTATGTTGTATTTCTACTTGTGCATTACAATAATTTGAGCTCATGAAGTTCAAAGTCCTCTAATAGTGTAGCAACCTTTTTGCCATCAACACCCTTCATCCTCTGAGGGCAGGCATGTATATCATGATGAAATTTTAATGGATATCTTTCTGTGATGAATTCAGTTTTTCCATGTGATAATCCAATTATGACTAATTAGATATGAAAACAAAACCTCCTGGTCGAGGCAACATGTTTGGTTGCAGCAGAATCCTGACAATGGCAGGAACTTGATGAGTTTTGTGTCAGCGGTGTGTCTGTGTGGATGATTCAGACCCACACACTGCTGTTTCAGACCATTGCATAGATATTTATAGCAAAAATGACATCCCAATTGTTGTTTTCTATTAATATCAGGAATTAAAGAGGAACACTAGCAACAGAAACTCTGTCTTTATGGTTAAAGAAGTCTAAATTGTCAACATTTCTTATTTTGCCCTCCACTGAAGGTCATGTGAAGTGCATTAGTTTTTTTTAAAGGAAAATCCAGTTGAACACAATCTAGTATGCTACGCATTTGAAATACTTTGTAGCAAAATGCAAATCACTTAATGTTGTGAGTGGGACTTTATTTTAAAATGTTTTTGTGAACATCTCACTAGTTTCAGAATAACTTGGTTATCATTAATATAATCTTGCATCATACTGGGTGCATCATAGTAGCGCTGTGGCGCCTGTTCAGGAGTGTACATCAAAAATAACAGATATCTCGTCCCGTCTTCTGTGTTGGTGCAGTTGTCCAGCCAATCAGCTTTGCTCCCTGCTATGGATTTACGTTTGCTCTCACTGTTTGGCAGCTTTTCAAACTCCTCTTATGTGTGGCAGGGACACACTTTAGCTGCTTACTGCATCTGGAAAATGTTCAAGTAGGTTGCTGCGAGTTGTATAGATAACGGCACGCTGCATGTTGGCAGGTACTGTGTGATTGTGCTGCAGCTGCTGCTTTACCTGAACCCAGTCTGTTTGTCAGTGTAAATATTGTCTGTGGTGATTTCTGTAGAAGGTTGTTGGGCTGGTAAACCACTGTGGCCAACAAAGGGAACTCATAAACTGATAAAGAAGCGTGCTTCCGTTTTTTTATTTCCTCTCCCAAGCTGGAGGTTATCCCATACAGACGCAGTGCCCCCTACAGGCAAAAGCTCCCATAAACTCTTCCTTGGGTTTTAATGTTTGGTTCGCAGAGATCTGGGCTTTGAATATCTCATCTTCACTTGAATCATATGCTTTAAGTGAGGGTGCTGCTCCTCCACCTCCGTCCTGCAGGTGGAGAACTCCACCCTGAGCTCTCAAAGTGCGGCCCTCATGGCCCAGAATGCCCAGCTGCAGAGCCAGCAGAGCAGCGTGGAGGGAGAACGGGAGGGAGCGCTGAGAGAGAAAGAGGAGCTAAGGGCGACCTACGAGCTGCTACTCCGGGATCACGAGAAGCTGGCGGCGCTCCACGAGCGGCAGGCGGCCGAGTATGAAGCTCTAATAGGGAAACACGGCGGCCTGAAGACCTCCCATAAGAGCCTGGAGCAACAGCACAGAGACTTGGAGGACAAGTGAGCTTCTGTCAAACTATAACAAGATTCAATCAATTCTGTCATCTTTTGAGGAACTTTAAAAAAAATTGTCATCTCTAAGTTGTATTTTTTTTCCTCTTCTGTTCAGGTACAAGCAGCTCCTGCAGAGAAAGGGTGAACTGGAGGAGTTGGAGAAAAACCTGAAGGAGCAACAGGACAAGATGGCACAGGAGAATCAGAGCCACCAAGCCACAGCTGACCAGTGCAAACTGCTCAAAGAGGAAAACGACAGGTCAGGCTTTTTATGCTATAAAATAAACTGGCATAGTCAAAATGTTTCAGTTTTAAAGCTTTTTTTTTCAGTTAAACATGAAATTGAAAACTGCTACAAGATTAATCTTTTTCGATCATTTGTATGTGAACGGTGTCAGGGTTTTTTTCCACATCAGGTTTTTGGTCCATCTAGTTGATAAATTTGTTTTTCTAATTTTGCGAACAGAACCCAGAGATAAATACAGGTGGTCTAAAATTTAAAGGTCGACTGTTTCATTCCTGGTTCAGAGGTTTTAGAGTTTCAGCATCCTGGCTGCTGCTCAAGTGACCTTTCTGGTCCAAGTGCTGGAAATGGGGCAAAAAACCTATAAATTGATATGTTGTATGTTCATGTGTTTAACTCTGTACTTGTAAATCAACCCACACAACCAAATCAGACTTCAGCTTCTTTGCTGTTGATTTATGATTGTGAAATATGATGGTTCAAAGTACATACAATATTTGGACAAATCTGGACTGTTTAGTCTGGAAAAGTTTGACATTTAGAAATAGAAAATGAGTGGGAACATGAATGTTTTCAGAGTAACTAAAATACATTTTTCCACCAAAGACTCTGTGCTGTCTTTCCAGGCTGAACACAGCCTATCGCCAGCTGATGAAGGACAACGAGAGTCTGCAGGTGGACCATAAGAACACAAAGAGCCAGCTGAACAGTGCAAAGCTGGAGCAGACCAAGCTAGAAGCCGAGTTCTCCAAACTGAAGGAGCAATACCAGCAACTGGACATCACCTCTACTAAACTCACTAACCAGTGTGAGGTAATGAGACTTCAAGTGTGTTTTTATTGAAAGCTTTTGGATAAATCTCTTTAACAATTTCGTTTTAAGCCAGTCTTCCCTTTTTGTGTGAATTAGTTGCTGAGCCAGCTGAAAGGCAACTTGGAGGAGGAGAACCGTCACCTGTTGGACCAGATCCAGACCCTGATGCTGCAAAACCGCACACTTCTGGAGCAGACGATGGAGAGCAAGGACCTGTTCCATGTAGAGCAAAGACAATACATGTAAAACAAAAGATACATTTGCTTTTTTCTTTGGAGTGAATGTTGGATACAATGCCTTGCAAAAACATCCGCGCCCCTTGAATTTTTCACATTTTGTCACATTTGCATCTCACCCTTAAATAAGAAATCGCTTATTTTGTAGATAGTGGTTGGAATGGTAGTAACCCTGTAATCTTGTAAGATGTTTGGTTTGTAAGTTCAGTTTTTTTGTCTTGCTTTTTTGTTCTCTGTGCCGTCTTCAGAGACAAGCTAAATGAGTTGAGGAGACAGAAGGAAAAACTTGAGGAGAAAATAATGGACCAGTACAAATTCTTTGATCCTTCGCCTCCACGCAGGTAAGAAAGCAACGTCATGTGGTCACATGAGTCCTGATGTATAAAACGATATTTATTCTGTAAAGAAAAGGTTATGTTATGTCGTAACTTATGATCTACCACATACTTATAGTTTCCTGTTGCTGTCTTTATTTCACCTCTGTGACCTGTCGTCAAAGGCGTGGCAACTGGATCACTTTGAAGATGAAGAAGCTGATCAAGCCACGGAGCCGGGAGAGGATGCGTTCTCTCACCCTGACCCCCTCCCGTTCGGAGCTGGGGGAAAATGTTTTCACTTTTGTTCCAGACAGCCAGGACAGCTCCTCCATCGGCTCTGGGTCCAACTCGCTGGATGACACGCTCACACAGAAGAGGAGCATGAGTGAGTGCAAAAGAGACACACACTTTCTTGATTAATGATGTACGGACAGGAACGCACGGGTTTCAAGTGGGTTTGTGCAGTATGGCTGAGTCTTTTATTCCCTAACCGCTCCTTTGCTTCTTTATTTCTCTGCGAAGGAAGGAGAGGGCAGCATTCCCATGCCCAAAGTCAGGGTCCGTCCAATGGTATGCCGTGGATAGGGAGGGTGGGCGGGGCTAATGACCCGACTGTCATGTCTCTCGGGGCATGTCTTTGTGAGTCCATTGTCTGTGTCACTCATAGAGGTTACAGTTGAGCTGTGCAACAGGACAAGGTTGACTCTGACTCGACGCTTCTGACCTAAAGAAATCAGATGCCGTTCATGTTTGGAGCAACATGAGGTGCACTGGATTTGCTGAATCTTAGTTTGATGGTAACCAAAATTAAATACTAATTAAATCTATTTTACAACTATGACTAATGTTTCTTAATCGGATTGTATTCCACCTGATAGGACGATGATTTTTCAACTGGCTGCACACTTAACAAATGTTTTCCTCCTTCAGCAGAATTCATATTACTGTTTTTTCTCAAACAAGCTGTAAGCTCCTGCTAGTATGCTGAAAATAGCAATAGTTTGGTATAAAAACTGTAGCAGTTGCAGGAGGAACAAAATATTCAAACATATTCTTAAATTTTCCGGAACTGATGAGTTCCGGAAAATTTGAATGTTTGGATTCAAGCTAAATTGTACATCATTTATCTTTCAGTGATTTAATTGTGCTAACGTTTTATTCTGAAGTGTCTATTGACTGATAACTAACTACAATAGGTGTTGGTATATCTGTTTGTGTTACTGTGACTAAGTAAACTTTGGACAAACAAAAAAGCCCAACAATTAGAAGGAAATTGAGCATTATACTCAAACTCAAAATAGTGTAAAGTCAGAGTAGTTACTCTAATAAAATAGTGTGCTGTAAAATGGCATTAACTTTATATATTGTGATCAAAGTCTGGGTTTCCCTTTGTTTTATTTGATTGTGTCTTTGTTGCTCGACTGTTTATTTTGGTAGAGTTGTTCAGGTTGCCACCATTTTAAGCAGAATAAAGTGTACCTCATGTGCTTCAAACGCTGGAAGCCTTAATACAACCTCAGTCTACTTCTTTCAGTATCTCTAAAACTCTTAAGTAAGAGTTAAGCTGCTAATATGTTAACCTACTGATACGTGCAGTTCACCTGTAAAGAGGGAGAGGATCACGCTCTATCATAGCATTAAAACTATTAAAGGGTGCAAGAAATGGTTTCTCTCACTTAGTCTCTACCAGAAAAGGGTTTTGGGTTTTCTTGTCTGTTGACACAGGAGTAGATCTATGACCTTGAAGATTTCTGTTTTATTTTGGTAGTTAAGAGTAAAGTTGCATGTAAATATACTAAAAGCTAGAAAAATTTATTTCAGTGATTCATTTTGTAAATTAAACTCTTCATGTCCACTAAATTGTTTTAATTTCAGCTGAATTTGACGAATAACAAAAACCCCCATTTTCTGTTTCACAATAGTAAGTTTAAATATTGCTAGAAACAAAAGGATTTTTGATATGGAAATGTTATGATGAGGCCAGCACAATCAAAGAGAAGACGAATTACTTGACAGTTGTTCAGCCGCAGAGTTTTGTATGCAATTGGAAGTTGAGTGGAAGGAAAACCTGCTGTTTAAAGACAATAGGGTATCCACAGTCATATCTACAACCTTGAATATATTGTGTGACTTAAACACATTATCATATTTAAGATTACAGCAGTCTAATGTTTTTCTGCTAAGCTTCTTCTGAACCACAGAGAATGCCAGAAACACCCTAACCTGAGCTAAAGGGGAAAAAAGTTGCTTCTCATTGACTGTAAATATCAAAATTGATAGAAATCAGCACTTGAATTACGCCACTTCATATGTAACAAATGAGTTTAACTTTTTGATTTGAATTGCTGAAACAAATCAGGTTGATAGTGGATGTATGATAATCTATTGAGTTTTACCTGTATGTATGTAATGTTTTTAACCCGGTCCGGTTAAGAACACGGCATCATAGGAGCCCTGGTCGTTTTGAAAAATGTCCAAGCTGTTTTCTTCTTTGTCTGGGAGTTTTGGGAACTCTAGTAATTCTGGAAGCTCTCCTCATTGCACCCTTTAATACTCATCATCTCCTTCGTCTCGTCTAGATGTGGTTCTGTGTCGACAGTCGTGTTGAAAAATTGTAATGTTTGGCAGGAAGATTGTAAACAATAGCGTTTAGAGGTTTGGATCGTCAATGTGAGAATGCTGCAACGTGTGTGTGTGTGTGTGTGTGGGTGTGGGTGTGTGTGTGTATTTGAATACCATGTTTATATTTTTGTTTCATTGTTTGTAAGATTTATACAAGCCTGTCCTCTAAACTACTGTGATATTTTTCAAAAACAAAGTGGAATATAAGTAAACTGATATTTTGGATGTGTCTTATGAACAAACTGGAAATGACATGTAAACTGATGTGTAATAAGTCAATTTAAAATGCAAAGAAAAAGATGTTTATTTTCCAAACAAAACTTTTCCAGTTTTAGATTTTTATATATTTTTTACATTGCCCATACTTTTTTGCTTAGACTGAAATATCTAATACTGGATCATCAATATATATCACTGGATTGGACAGCACTTAATAGCCGGTAATGATAATGACGCACATCTGCAGGCGCCATTACTATTCATAGTCATGTCCACAAAACCACCGTGTTCCAGTGTCACAAAAATGGTTGTGACATGTGGTGATAACAACATATCTGGTTTTCCTTTTTGTTTAGTTTTTTTTTTTTTTTACTTTTTTCTGTTAAAGTAAATGTAACTTTATTTCTTATCCAATTTCTAATACAGCTTTAATTAAAGTTGAAAAAATTGCAGAAGTTTTAATATGTACAATATGAATTCACCATAGATATAAATGTATAAACATTTCGGTTTCTGTCAAGCTGCAAAAAAGGACTAAGCAAATTTCTTTTTTATATCACAAAATTACATTTTTGTAATTGCCACAGTAGGAACCATAGTTTATAATTTAGCAAACTCTGGATTCTATACTTTGTGAAATATAATATATAATATACCATCACGCTTCATGAACTAACGAGACAATTGGTCCAGATTTTGTTCATTAAAAGGTAAAATAAAGCCGAGAAACAACCAAAAGCCACTCGTATTCTTTTCTCTCGCTCTCCGAGTCGACTTTGACCTACAAGCACACACACAGACTCGTTGCCTTGGAAACTAATTAACAACAGCTCCAATAACCCACAGAGCTGAGATCATGCTCAAGGGTATCAGGAGAGGATGCCAAAAAAATGCAAACATTTCCCACACAAAGAACAGAACATTCAGTCAATTACAGCTTTTCAGGGTTCATGTTTATTTTGCGATCATTGATAAGCTGATATGCTAATTAACCACCAGCTTTGGTTAATTAGCTTTTTAATAATCTGCTCTACACATGATCAATCAGTCTAGATGTGTGGGTCACCTTATCTTAGTGTTAAATGAACCAAAATACACTGAACTGCAGAGCACATCCATTAATAACAAATATTGAGTCCCTTTTTCAGACAGAGCAATGGCTCTCATGTGTCGTCCAGCCCAGTGATGTATATCAATGTACTGGACAATTTGATTTTGGTTCCAGTTGATCCAGCTTTAGATGTTTATGCCTGATGCTGCCTAATGAGGCCAAGTTCTCTGTTCACGTCTTCCCCTGGCTCCGGTTGTGCCAACGTTAACATCCATCTGTTTTGCCCTCCTATTTTTCTTTATTTTCCTCTCCTCCACCTCTCTGGGTTTGTTCCGTCGCTGTCCCTTCCCTGTCTGTCTGTCTGCCTGCCTCTGGCTGTGCTTGGACAGCTATAAAGAGGTTGCCTTTCATGAGGAACAGATCCAAGGACAAAGACAAAGACAAGGCCATCTACCGACGCTCGATGTGTAAGACCTCCGTTTAGCCGCCACCGTAGCCTTCCCAGTACCTCTTAACACTTTGAGAAACGGAGGGCGTGGTCACTGATGTCAAGGTGATGAGAGCGGGGCAGTGACACTATGACACTTCTCTTTAATATTATTGATGTTTGCCATAGCTTGTCTGGTTCTATTGTATGTCTTAGATGTCTGCGTAAGACTTGGTAAGCTAACCCTTCATTATACAGGCTGGGTTGTCCCCCTTGAGTCACCTGACTACATCAGTGATCTATTGTCCCCAGCTCTTTCCTTGTAACCCAAGTTCTCATCACTTTCTCCGCTGAATGCCTCCACTTTCTCCTGTAAAGTATTTTAAGCCCTTTGCTTCACTTTGTTCTCGTTTGCAGTTAAATGTCTTGGCTTCTTAAATAGAAAAAAACAAAACAACCTCAGACATTCTGGTTTTCTCCTTATGTAGATGTGTTTCTTTTGACACATTCTGCATTTTGAGACAAAAGCCTTCAGTTCGGTCACACTTGTCAGGCAGCTGTTTTTGTGCTCTGTATTTTCATTTTGCGCATCCTGAATGAAAGGCTGTGGGTGTTTGTGTTTGTGTTGTGTGTGTTTGTGTGGAAGGATTGCCTGTTCAGGTGAGATAGTGGGGGAAGACTGTGGGTTTGCCTTTCATGTGCCTGTGCTGTGTTTTCCTCCAATCTTTACGGCATGAATCACCGACTGCTCGATCAACACTCGCACTCACCATGAAGGACTTGAAATGGAGCCTTTTGTTCTCTCTCTCTCTCTCTCTCTGCCTCATTCAGCATCTCACTCTCATTCTGTCAGCGTGCTGCATTTCAGATCTTATTCTGCTGACATGGACTCGCCTGACTCGGATCTGCCGAGTGCTGCTTGCAGCTCCGAACAGCTCTGCATGTCTTCATGCCTTTCTGCCATCTCATAACACGGCTCAATAAAGCAAAGTGCACAAAGACAACATGTGACGTCTACAAGATAAACAGTTAAAATGATTGATTTGTGCTGCTGCCCCTCTTTATGCACTTTGGTTGATTGTAAAATGGTTGAACACACCTGCATGTGCCTCTTGAAGAATTGTTTTTGTGCCAAAAGATTATAATGCTGTTTGATATGGATAAACCTGCTTCCAAGTGAAAGAAATGTGTCTCAGAAAATGCTAGTTGTTGGCTGGATTTACAAATCTAGGTGTTGCTCTGAAAAGATTGAGTTACATTAAAATCCATTGTGGGGGGAAAATGTTCAAAACCAAAATTTAAGGATGCAGTTCTAATTTCTAGGGGGAAAACTTGCAGTTAAATATTCTAAACAAAAACTAAAAGACGACTATTTGCATTTTATTAAACAGTCATGAGTGTTGTATTGTCACTTAGTGGCTTTATTTATATATATATGTGTGTTATTTTTGGGCCAATTTTGGGGGAAGTCAGGTATTTTTAAATGGATATAAACACAAACTGACTTTCTAAATAATTGTATATAGGAAAAAATGGCTGTAAACATTCAATTTCTGCAAGTAATTTTTTGTGACATCCTCTTTCCGTCCGTCCACTCAGCCATGAACGACTTGCTGCAGACGATGGCAGTGGCTGGTGTTTCTGGGTCACAGTGGGCGGGCAGCACGGAGAATCTTGACGGACCTGAAGCAGGAGACGGCAGCATAACGGGCAGCAGCAGGCGCAGCGGTCAGCGCATGAAGGAGCTGGCCCTGTCCACCAACGCCATCGACTGCGCTGCTCTAACACTGCCGTCTGCGAGGCGGGCTAAGCTGCAGCTTCAGGTAAAAGGTGAGAAACCCATATAAAATAAAAGTTTTATTATTATTGATGCAACATTAAGAATATTGATTCTGATGTCCAATTTATAGATTTTAAGCTTTGACTGTAAAAATATGGGTTTGGCACATCGCAGTTCCTCTTTAAGAACTACAATATAAAAGATACAAAACCAGATTTCAGATTATTTTTGTAGCTTTTCTTTGGTGAGCGATCATTAACTGTTTATATTGGGAACACAAATGGCATCAAGCTGCCTTATGTAATAGTCTAGTTGTAAACAATGGATTTACGATTTAAGAAAAAAATCTTTGGGTGCTACCATTTCAAGCAACCCTCAGTATTTTATACTAGTTGTCAGTGAGGCTAGTTTACTAAACAGCAGTCCACATTTATTTACTAGAATGTAGTGCAATATGTTCAGTGATGGAAGCTTACAAAAGTAGAGCAACTTTGCTATTTCCCATTTAGTTTTCCAGTTATCTGCTTTATGTCTCACTCTCAACATGAGACAGCAAGTTAATTCGTTTCTTACAGCCTTCGTACTTCCTCTGTCTTCTTTTTCTTAAATACTCACTGAATGTGAAAATGTTTAACTTTGTCTCCACAGACAATGCCTCATGTGAGGATGTTGCTGGTTCCTTAGATGACCCTAAGAGTCAAGGTAAGGTTGACATAAAAACTGGATAATGGCCGATCAGATGGGTAATAAGACAAGTGTGGCTTCTAGATGTCAGAAAACTGAGCAGATCCAGAGAAAAAGAAAGTTATGTCCTCTGCTAAACTCCCTGATGTTGCTTTTATTAAGCCTGATCTTGTGATTTAATTTTAGTTGAGAGATCTGGGTCAGGGTAAAGTAAAACTGTGTAATTCAGACTTTTGGATGTTGTCCAGCAGCCAGGCAGAGATTACTCAAGCCTGTGAGCTTAAATATGTTGTTACACATCACCCGGATTTAAACTAGCTAAAACATGTGGTTGTTCAGTGCATTTTACTCAATATAATTTTTTTTTTCTTTTTGTGTTGACAAAATATCTACTTTGAACCTAACTTTGCAATGCTCTTAAATTTGTTTGGCATTATACTATTGCACTGCCGTTTCTTTAAGATGAGTTCCCATAATGCATTTACAAAATAAAGTGCAATCTTAGGAGACCCATTTCCCATTGCATTCTTGTAATGCATTAAGGAAACGGACATCCGGTCTTACTCATCCTCCACGCATTATGTCTAATGCATCAGGTTCATGTCTGAGGTACCTATTGATTTATGGAGCAATACTTTTGGCTGCCTCTGTTTTGTTTCCAAGCATTATTATATATTACAAGTTTTATGTCCATTAAACATTTCAGATTCCACCGTGTGGATGTGTTGCATTATGTGCGTGTGTGTGTTTTATTAGGCCAGCAGGGGTCTAGCAGTGCTCTTGCTTTGTGTCGTCCTGTTGAGCTGAAGGCTATGTGCAGAGTTCCCTGTAGCATCTGTAGTAAGTGATATTTACTGTGCAGAGACAATCACTTTGGGCAACAATGAAGGTTTTCTACAAATAACACCTGTGTTGATTATAAGTGTTGAATTTGCCTCCAAACTGGTGTCACTTGTATCATAACACACAAGCTGCGTTTTCATTAACCACATAATTGTGCAAATTGAAATTCCGAAAATAAATTTGCTTTCTGGAAACAGACCAGTGTCGAAAAAACCTTACGTTTTTTGATAAAAAGGTTTTTACGGTAGCATCGGACGACTTTTTGGCTATATTAACATTAGTGCATTCACCAAAATTTGGTAATGCACAAAATTTGGTAATGGTAGGATGATGGCGCGATAAGTCTTGTTTTTTAATTACTTATCGTGTGAACAAACTTATTCATGTGTGACTCAATTGTGTTTTCTTATTTAAAGGGGACGCTGCAATTGCGAAATTGTTTTTTCGACACTGGCGGAATATCGACAAAGTTTTTTGCGCACATGTGTAATGGAAGCGCAGCTACAGTCTGAGACGATTTCACCTGCACTGGCTTTCCTTTCCAAACTAACCGCCACGGGAACCGGAGAGCACAAGATAAAAATCTTCTCGACCCCTTTCAATTCTTTTTCACCTGCTTCTCGTTTTGACTAACAAGCTCTCACTGACATTAACATCCCCCTTTCATCTCCAGTGGAGTGGTCTTTACATTTAGGTGTTCCTTCCCTCTCCGTCAGTGGTCTCTTTGTCTTCTTAGATGGACATATTGGTGCTGTAATCTGGCACTGAGCCACCTTTCCTGTGCCTCAGCCTGGCACGAGCCATCTGCCACCCCAGCAGGTGACACTCTGTCAGACTGTTGACTTGCTCCCACGTGTTACCCTGTGTCAGTGCACGTTGGTGGATACATGTAAGCCTCTGTAAATCCTATAACTGTGAATGTGTGTTCACCTCCCCTCTCGTCCTCTACCCAGCCGCCAGACCCACCAGCCTTCATAGCAACAGGACACGTAGCAATAGTAACAATAACTCACACCTCACCTCTCCTCTGGAGGGCAAAGGTACGCTCTTCCATCTTCCCTTCAGCTCTAGTCCTCTTCAATAACGTCTTCAGTAGGGATGCAAGTTGATGATTAATGAGTTAATCTACAGTGAATTGATCTTATTGACTGACTGGCAATTAATTGCTAGGAGGCACAGCTATGTGCATCCCTCGTCTTTGCTTCATTTCGAACAATGTGAAATGTGAACAGAAGATGCTGACCTTTCCTAATTTAAAGGTTGTAGTTTTCCTCTACGGGTTGGACACCGTTTTAAAATCGCTGATGCTTTTCAAAGGAAAAATGTGTCAATACGGAAGCAGTTTTGTTTCTGAAAACCTCATTGGGATCAAGGCATAATTTCTGCCCTGTTTCTCAACTCATTCCCCCTCCCACAGGCACGCTGAATGGCAGTTTCAGCAGGCCTCAGAGTGAGAGCAGCGGGGAGTTCAGCTTGAGCCTGGACCAGGAGGTGTGGTCCAGTAGCGGCAGCAGCCCCGTCCAGCAGCCCGCCTCCTTGCGCGCCTCCCATCAGAGCCCCCTGCAGCTGCGCAGGTCCCTGGAGCCGTCCGGCACCGCTGCCGTTTCCGCTCAGGCACAGATCAGGAAGACGGCGTCCCCCAGCGAGGTTCTGTCCCTGCAGCAGTTCCTAGATGAGGGTATTGATCCTGCAGAGGTGAGAGCTCGAAATGTGATTATGTTGCACTTTTTTTTTTTTTCAATCGTATCACATTGCAGGAGAATGCTGCAGAATGATTTCAGAAGCTGAAGTCACAGAACCTTGTTTGTTTTTAGGTTTATGATCCAAAATAATGCTGTTTATGTTTCTAGTTTTGGACTGACATAAGCCTATTGGGAATCTATTTTTGTATTAACCAATGTATGAAAAAGCACCATGTGCCTGAGCGTTATTTTAAAAGGTCAACAGAATGATGCTGAAACCCACTTTTTCAATAATCTAGCCGATAAAATATTCTGGCTTTTATTCTGAAGACAAAAACTTTATAAAGTTCAAATTTCTAACTCGGGTGTTGACTGGTGTTGATTTCATTGTTGGGCTGTCAGTTCTGAGAAAAGAGCACGACTCTTAATCTGGAGAGTATTTGAAAGATGAATGCTCATAATTTGAGGAAATTTGACTAAGTACATTTACAGTCTGAGATGTTTTTTTTTATTGTTATAAATGCTAAATTTATAAATTTTATTCAGTTTTGATTTCATTTATCCTCTGAATCTGTTTTTTTCCCATCAAATGGTTTTTGATGATTATTTCAGCAATGGAACATTGTTTCAGAACATTTCAAAACAAAAGATTTTCAGAGGTTTTGAACGACCTGGTCCTGATTACTTTTGTATTTTCCGTTCTCTCTAGTCTGGCAGTCAGGAGAACCTTACGGTAGATTCCCCTCGCCTCTCCGCTTCTTCTGAGCACGCTCAGAAAGATCGCGCCTCCACCAAGGCGCGGGGCATTTTACGCTCCAGCAGTGGGAGAGCGGCGCCGACCAGCGCCGACCGGGCTCTGAAGTCCTCAGGACAGCCCGGCCGGCCGAGCCTGCGGAAAGCCGAGAGCACGCGCGTCAAAGGCTCCGCCCCTCTCCGCTCCAGCCTCTCCTCCCAGGGGAAAGCCACGTCCGTCTCCGAACGGCTGGACTCCGCCTCCTCCTCGTCCGCACTGCCCCGGGCCAGCAGCGTCATCTCGACAGCCGAAGGTACCACAAGGCGCACCAGCATCCATGACCTACTGTCCAAAGACCACCGGCAGCCCGTGTCTGTTGACGCCTCTCCTCACGCCCCCTCCCCAAAGGCTGGAGTTCGCTCGCAGCCGACACCCAGTGAGTACCACCCCAACATCGCCTCCCCCATGCCCAAATCAGTCAGCCTACCCTGCCACAGCTCAGAGGACCCCGACCTCGACAGCCTTGAGTCTTTCCTCGGCCCCTCCTTCACCGCAGAGTCGGTGTTCATGGACTCCATCTTTAGCGAGTCAGCAGAAAATCTCCCCTTCCTGTCCCTGAACCCCACCCTAGTCAGCAACATCAGCGGCCCCCCGGCCCAGCCTCGCCCTGGGTCGAACCAGAGCCCACACAGCCAGACCAACGGCCCAACGAGGGCCAGCTCAGCCCGGCTGACGGCGTACGATGATGGTATTGATCCAAGTAGCGTTACTGAGTCAGAGCAGACTCTGAGCCCAGAGGAGAACCAGTCTCTGTGGTACGAGTACGGCTGTGTGTGAGTCACCCGAAGGTTTCTCACCAGACGATCAGAACTTCTTCTAGAGCTGGAGAACGAAATCATTGGATGAACTAATCTTCCTTTCCTGCATGTCAGAGCACTATTTTTTTTAATTATTATTATTATTTGGTGCATTAAGGTCATTTTCTGTTTGCCATGGTGCTGAATGCTTTCTCTTTTCTTTTCTTTTGTTCTTATTTGGGTGGGACTTTGAAGACTCCTCCGTCCAAAACGCTGTTACCGTGTTTTCCCATCAAAGTGATTCAAATGTTTTTGCTCTTTAGTTTTATTTTTAGGTGGCCTGTTCATTTCTCAAAGATCCGTTAAAGCCACCAGAACCTTTTGCTGTCACAAGTAACTGTCCTTATGACACTGAAGCAGCTTTGTCACATGATAAACTCGCCTCAGACTTTATGGTATGCTTTTCTATCAGAGTGTTTTCCATGGTTTGCATTGTTCACTTAACTGCATGGCTTTGTTCTATCAGCCTCAGTTAAAACAGGAATTGTGATGTTGGGAATCAAAATAGATTTTAAATGTTTCTTTTTGTTGACGTGTGCACTGCTTTTGTGCATTTAATGTTTTTTTTTTTTCAATTTCATGTGTACATATATCTGAACTGGAGGCTTTACTGGGTTGGTGGTGGGTCGTGGTGTGGTGGGGCTGGTGACAAAATGATGCATCTTCTTTCTCAAAATGATGCCTGGGTGTCATTAAAGGGACAAGTGAAAGTTGACAGTGAAGGGACCGGATTGTAGCATCACCTTGGGGAAAATTACCTTTCAGATTTTGACTGATAATGGCAGCTGTTGAAATACAAGATGGATAATGAAGATGGACGAGTTTTTAATTATTTTGTCAATGAAGCATGCATCATTTCATTTTTGATTTTTCTTTTTCCTTTTATTGCTCTTAATGCACCACACTCCAGAAAGGATCATATAGTGCTCTAGACTCGGCCACACTTTGTACAAAGTTAGTAATTTATAATCAAAAGACAAACATTGCTCATCGTGCCAAACTTATTAAAACCGTTTGCATTTAGAGTTGTATTTATTTCTGCTTCTGTAGTTGCTATTTTACTCCTGAATATATTTATCCGAATGGACGCTACAAGCATTGATGAAGTTGATGACAGTGGTTTGTGTTTGCAGATGTGACATAAACCTTGCCTTTATCCTACAGATGTGGAGGGCAGAAAGTCTAAAAGCAGGAGCGGGGAGCCGCAGCAAAGCTGCTGAGCCCTCGCCCGTCTGCTACCATGCTGCGAGCGCGTGGTGAGTGAGCGCTGGCTGAAAAATTGTTGGGTCAGTTTTGTCTCCATGGGAACCCCTACAACGTGGTTGTGTAACAGATGTCTCCCATCATGCTGTGCACTTACTCCCCTCCTCCTCCTCCTCCTCTCACTGTTCCTGCGGTGCCAAACGCCTGCTCAGGGGTTTTCATTGGACCCAGCCGTCTTGGCATATGGTCCATTTTTCACGACACTGCCTGTTGTCTTTACTCACCAAGTGAAGCTCTTGGAAACAACACGGTCTCCCTCCATCATGCTGTGTCTTGTGTTGGTGTATAATGATGTGGCTTCTGGCTCGTTATCAGGTTGCTGCATGGCTTTGCTCCTTCCCCGTTTGCATGTAGTCCCAGACTCGCTGCTGCTTCTCTTCCTCTCCTTGTTGAATCCATGTTTAACAGAGTCCTCTAGGGGAGTATGGGGGAATTGTTTTTTTGCGTTACCTCACAAAAATATTCTGTCCCGTTGCAATAACTTTGCAAATGCACCCTAGCCTATTTTGTACAGTTACAGCAATACCAAATTCAAATAGTTTGGATGCATTTCTTTCTGTCCTCTTACAGAAAGTTTCTGTTATGTTTGTTTTACAGTAGGAATGGAAAGTCCATGTTTGACCTGTGTTCATCTAAAAGATAAAGATATAAACATGTCAAATAACTCAAAGAATTCCTACATGGAAAAACATTCAATTGTAGGAGAAAAACTTTCAGTATTCCAGATGCCACGTGAACTGACTACTAAAACATTACAGTGAGGTAACGCAAAAATGATTGCATGGGAATGCAATACTTCTGCGAGGTGATGCCAAAAACAAGAAGAAAAATTCACCTTTTCCACTATGGGGCTCTGTGATGTTTACTGGTACAGTGAAACTTTTTTTCTCTCTCTCTTTAACTGTAATTTTGCTCTATTTTCTTGCCAGTTTTCTTGTAACTTGTCTTTCTTTTCCAATTCCACTTCTCTTTGCTTGTGTGCGACTCAGAGAAAGGTGGCCTTGGAGCTGTGTGTCTGAAGCTTTGTAGAGCTGATCTTCTACAGCCATCTACAGTGAGAAAAGATTGTATGTCCCAGATTCAACTTTTTTTTTAGGAGATCCAGGACACTTTAGTGGAGAAAAGTGGCTTCCTTCTCTGTTTTTCTTTTCCTTGAATCAAGGAAGCAACAGTGAAATACTACAAAATATCACAATGACATTTCCCCCCCACCTCCTTAAAGACTGCTGCGACAGTTTGCCACTTGACTCCAATGTGGCAGATCATTGATACGCACTGGTTACTCTCTGTGAACTGATTTAAGTGCCAATGTTCACACAACAGCCAAAAAGGCCATCTCAACCTAGACTTGAGGACTCTTTTTTTTTTCTCAGATCTTCTTTGTATCTTTAACGCTAGATGGATCGTCTTCTGCCTGAAGCCACGCCTACATCCTTTAAACAGGAGGACTCTCTTTAAAAATATGAAGCATGTCAGCACAAAAAAAACCCGGTTCCAGCTTCTGTTGTAAGAATCAAAATCTGCATGGAGCAGTCAATCATTCCACTTTCTTTATCCGACCAAGGAAGAAGATGGGGTCCAAAGGATTAGAAGCCAGATGCAGTGGGACATAAAGCCATGAAAGTTTTGGTGGTTTGGTTTCGGACGGAGAGACTGAGTCTGGGAATGCTCAGGTTGCCTCAGAGACGATGTTTATCTCGACTGAAATCCTCCTCTGTCACACAGTTAACCACATGGTAGTCATCAATAGTTCCTCTCCTGCTCTGATGTACAGATATCACTAAGACTAAACAGTGTTGAGTGTAAACTTCTGGAAAGGCTCTTTGCGTCTGAGTGGAGTAGGTGACCCGCCTGCTACCTGCAGAACATGTCCACGTTTCTGTTGTGTTGAACATGATGGTGACAACGAGACCTGATGTTTTCCTCCTTTTCCACTTTTACATGTCTCCATTTGGTGTAATTAAAAATTATCAAGACTACTGTGTACGTCTCCTTTTTAAGAGCGGTGGTCTGTAGACGGACATTAAAACGTGGGTGTCTGATTCCAGACCTCGAGTCGCCTGGTGAAACAGCATTCTTGTCCCACGCTTTGCTGCGTAGAGTCTGGACCCTCGACTTAATTGAGAAAATGAAGGTGGTGTGGACTCTTAAGTTTTGAATTTTACCTAATCCAAAAAATTTGGCCAATTTAAACAACCAAACTCTACTGCAAAGAGAGAAGTGCCGACCCGAACGCAGTGGCTGTTGATGTTAATTCAATGGTTGAAAACGTGGCCAACACCGACTCAGCGTCTTTATTCACTTCCACTGACATTGCTAAAACTACAGGCAGTTTGTAATTATAAATACGGTCCACAACATTAGAAGAATCATTCACGTCATCCCAGTTGAGTTTCAGCCGGAGAAATCCAGCTCAATAGGAGAAAACACAGATGGGCAAGTGAATGGGAATAGCCATGCCGGTCCTTGAGGGTTGGTCTTCTAAAACCTGATCCAAAGCTTGGATCAAAAATCTGTGCTTCTACAGAGTCTTGCTGATGATCTAAATACCTGATTCAGCAGTGTTGAAACATTTAGACGCCATCGAGATCCTTTCTGGAGGACCTGGGTTTGATCAACCTCTCTGGAGAACCAGGATGGGAAAAAAGAGCCTTAGACTCAGCGCATGTTTATAGATTTAAGAAAAGTGTTTTGTCTGGTGAACAATGAAACCTGAACTCTTAAAGATAATTGTGGGATTCCAGATCGGTTCATCATTGCAGGTATAATTCCTCCAGATCAGACCTGCAATACAGGCATGTTGTCTTTTGGTTACTTTTATTTCTCAAGTCAAAATAAAGAGAAACAATTTTTGTTGTAGGATTTTATTTGTTTAGTCATGCAAAAAAAATCCAGCATCCATTTGACTTTAGACACATGTAGCCCCTTCTGTTTGTAAAGTCACATTGCAATATATTAACTTTAAGAGGAGCATGATCAAGCTAAGGCTTCAGCTAATCTTTGTTTTTTTATGTGGATTAACATATATATATATATATATCTCAGACAACAATTTCATAACCTGGTGGATGCAAATAAATTTCCATTTAACAGTGAAAAATTACCAGAAAGTAGACGTACATGCATATTTGTTCCATTTGTAAAACTGCATATATAGTGTTCAGATTTTTTTTTTTTACTCTCCCAGCCAAGATCTTTGTAGCATGTATTCCCACATTTCACTTTAGTTTTGAAGAAAGCATGTTCAGCATTTGCCAAAGTATTTGAACCAGTTTGACATTTAAAAATGGAAAGCGAGACCTTTAAAGTTCTCGGTTGTGCGCGTGTGGTTAGTTACATACTGATGAACCTTGTAAAGATCTGAGTTTATATGTTAAAACCTTGGAGTTGTTAGGTGCACTTTCTCCATCTTGCACCATCTAGTTGGTTTCTGGAGTTATGCAAACTTACAGGGTACCACAAAAATCAAGCTTTCCATTAGATTTTTGTGCTTTATTATATAATCTTTTTGTATTTTAGATACTTTGTCTTATTTTCCCTCCCCCACTTACATGAAATCAGTAGAGGAATACTCAATTTTAGTTATTTCAATGTGAAGTTGGTGTAAAAGACTAAGGTTGTTCTAAATGCTTTGACAAATGGTTCCTCATCTAAGACTGGTTCAAGCGATGTACTACGAAGCAGGTTTCATACATCCAGACTGTTTTAACTGACAAGAAAAGACTGACAAATGTTTCTCAATACTCAGTTTCAGGGTGAAGCACTGACTGTGAGGCGTCGGTGTTTTGATAGAAAATCTGAACATAACTGGAAAAAAAAATTTCTTAAGACTGAAAATTGAGCAAAAACCAGACCATCCGTCCATCTGTTAAGTGCGTCCACAACTGTCAATTTTTGTTAAATTCATGTTTGTCGTGATCTTTTTAAAACCCAAACTTCTACGTTTCTTAAAACTCTGCATTAGTGTAAACAGACTCTTTCTTGTGCTCTCAGGGTTTTAGCTGTACAATCAGCAAATGTACAGTGAAAAGCAAATATTTTAGAGCAAGTAGCCTCATCGCTCAGAAATGGCTTAACATTACATTTTAGACCTATTTTTAAATGCTAAAAAAAGGGAAGGGGCGACAAAATAGTTCATGGCACAGCTACAAAATATATTTCAAGAAGGGAGTCAACAGCCTGACCATCGAGGTGACTATGATGTTTGTGAGCATAAAGTTTTACTGGATAAGAAAATATTTTTCTTATCTTATTGTGTCCTTTACTTTTGCACGTGTTACCTGTCACTGCAAACCATCTGCAAATGATTACTTTGCTAAATAAATAAATGACCGAGTTCAAATATTCCTCTTGCATGTTTACCAGCGACAGTTGGCAAAAGCCAGATCTGAAAAGTGCAGTTAAATGATCACAAGTGAAACGTCTAAGAAAATAATCAAATTAACAAAAAAATGTAATTTGATCATTGAATTTGCTGTCATCACTTGTTTGCATTTGTTATGACGAGTTTCTTAATTCATTAAAATCCATTTAATAATTGTGAGCTGCAAGTCTGACCAGTCAATTTTAAAGACTATTTCAGAATAAATAAATCACATCAGCAGTTAAAGATGAAACTACAACATGCACCGCCACCGCTCAGCTTTGACCGACGGCTACATATGAATCTACATATATACATGTTAATCTCATCTGATTGCACATTTATAATTTACGTCAGTTTTACTTAACCGCTTAGAAAACTTTATTCTAAAAGGATTGAAAATACGAGCCTAAATAACTAACATTTGTCATAAGCTCTGCCCCGACTGTCACGCTTGCAATTATCCATTACCAATTGTATACATATTCAACATGCTCTGTTTAAATTTGACTTTTTAGCTGGTTAAAACATAACTTTAATCCAAAACATACACATGTGAATGTGACAACCTTTATGCTTTCTTACGCTCAGTTTTCAAATGCATTGCTTATTGCTTCATAGTACACCCCTTAACTCTAAAGCTAGCCTCTTAAATGTGCTTGAACCTTTTATTTTATTTTTTATTACCCTCCTCTCCCTCATTTCAATCTTCCCATTGGTGCACGGGAATTTGCCTACATACAATTATCAAAATTAAAAAAATACACTTTTAGATTGGTGGCATCAACACACAACCAGGCCGGTGCCGACAGCACAAACTAGTAACTCAGAAGCATAAAAAAAAACATCACACAGACTCAGCTTTACAAAGCGTGGTGGAGGAGTGCACACGAGTGTTCATGGCATCTCAGATACGTCGATCGAACAGAAGCACAGAGGCAGTTTGTACAACAAGACGAGGCTCACAGATGGTTTTCTTTTCTTAAAAGTTCGCTCGACCACACACACACACACACACACACGACTTTGTGGTCAGAAGCGTCCGCCGATTTATAGCGCGTGAGTCACCATGGAGCAGCCTGGCGCAGGACAGACACTCAACAAGCCTTTGCTCATTTGCTGGTACAGAGTCACACAAAGTTCAGACGACACCGTGGAAGAAACACAGACGCACGTGACCTTGACCTTTTTTTCCCCTCACCGAAGAGGGAATCTTTGATGTCGTGTACTTCTGTGATGCTGCGATTCAGACTGGAGACAACAGTTCATACAACAACTTTTCCGGATCGTTTAAAAAATTTAAAAAAAAGTCACCTGCTCCTTTTATTTTCAACCTAGAAACATTAAAATGCAAACATCAAAACATTTGTGACCACAACATTTAGAACAGAGATTGATTTCAAAAAAATAAAAGTAAGAAAAAGTTCCAGATCCCACTGATTAGTGTCAGTGAAGGTCCTGATTGTAGCCCTCTTTCCATTAAATCCCTCTGCTGCAACATATTTTACATTAGCAGGACTTCACACCGAGGTACAGCGAGCCAAGACCGACGACATGCAGTGCAGAACACGACCAAAAGAGAAACGAGACGGGTTCGTCTCCGTCCCGCAGCGCGGCGTTGTGGTGGCAACAGGACCGCTTGGTGAAGGTCAAGGATGGTAGAAGAGAGGGCAGAGGTAGAGTGAGGTGGTGAGATTTTTATTTTTTGGCAAGCATAAACTGGAGTTGCAGAGAGGTTGGCTCCTTCAGAAGGGCAACAGCATCGAGTCTTTAAGTGTGCAAACAAAAAGAAAAACAGTACAGGCCAACGGCTGGCTGGAGAAATCTTGCTTTACCTTTAAAAACACACAAACATGAACCCAAGAGAGCGTGCACGACGCCTCTACTTGATTTGGAAGGCCCGATTCAAATTTTGTACCAACACTGCCACCCTGTGTTTGGATTGAATCATTGCAGACCAAACAGATGGAGTCCTTCTGCAACTTCAGGACGAGCCGGCCCTCGGACGACGCATCTAAAGAGCTTGACCTTAAAAGAGCAGGGACGTGGGACTGTGAGCATGTGTGTGCATGCATGTTGTCTTTGTATTTACAGCTTGAATTTAAAATAAAATAAAAAATAAAAACGCCCGCATGAATTCCCTTCCTACATCCCACATAGCAAATTAATTTTTCCTAGATTCCTCAATATAAATATCTCCTTATAAACAGTTCTATTAAAAAAAAACCCATTTTCCTTAAAAAAAAAAAAAGTCAACCCAGAATGCTTTTAAAAAAAATTAACCCTCAATTAAGTCAGTATATATTTAAAAAAACAAACTAAAAGGTCCCTTCGGTAACGGGGTTAAAACACTGCAGGGGTGGAAACCTGACTCCTATTGAACCTCACCAGCACGTCCATACACCAATTAACTCAAACACAAACAATACTTGCGTTAAAGTAAACACTCAGCTGCTCTGCTTCGGCCCAAAGTGATCATATTATTCCAAATATTCCCGCTGCCCCAGGAAATCTTTCAAAGTGGTGATGAATATTTATATTTCTAACACTCAAATCTGAGACAGGAGGGGAGGGGAGACAAAGGCTGTGGGAGAACAAGGACCAGGACAGCATCAC